TCACATGGAAACATCACATGTAAATCTACATTGGTGAGGCCAGAGTGTGTGTGTGTGTGTGTGTGTGTGTGTGTGTGTGTGTGTGTGTTTGGGTGCAGCCCAGTCACCAGACGAAAAGCACTGAACATTTCTGCACACTCCAGATATGTTACATTTGTACATTTCATGTGTCATATCAACGTTTCTTCAGTAACGTAGCTGTGATTACATGTACTGTATATGAGCTGACTTTGTCATCTAGAGGTGGAGGGGACGGTGGATGGCGTGACACCTGGGCGTGACAGACCAACAACAACAACACAACAACAACACCAGTGGATTTTGGGAGATTGTGGCACCAAAACAGGGTGTTTTAGGCCAAAACATGAAATTTTTCCTAAGGCACCGTAAACATGTCGCATTTTTTGCGACCCTTGAATTCATTCATTCATTGCTTTCAATGTAAATGAAAGACAGGTGCACTCAAACGCCAGAGCGATGCCTGAGCTGCACACACACGTTTCTGAGCACCTATTTTTCAGGGCGCGATGGCTATGCCCAGAGAATGCGCAGCAACGTGCACTGCATGTCATGTGACAAGGACCAACCAATCATAGCTGGAAGATATCTTTCCCTTCTTCTGTAAATATCAGTCTGGAGAAGTTAATCATTTTAGTACAGGGCTACCAGAGCTTTACATGTGTCCCATGGACAGTAGACCTCCACATAAACAATGCCTGGAAGAAGCTCAGCTCTGCACTCAGGATTTCAGGTAAACAGGCTATGATATGGTTGCTTAGTAACCTCAGACGCAACCTGTCACCATGCTCTTAAATGATGGCACAGAGAAGGCATATGACAATCACTCAGCACTCGACCTCTTGTTTTCCAGGAGGTTAAAGATGCGACATGTGTACGGCCCTAACCCTAACCATGTGGTTTTTGTGCCTTAACATAATCGTACATTTATAAAAGCGTTGCTGAAATGTAAAGAAACATAAAGTTTCAACATATTTGCTACATATTAACGTACAAATATCACGTATCCACGTTTTGCAGACATGTACAATGTCAATATTTACTCGGGCGTTTGGGTTGGTGTGTGTGTGTGTGTGTCATTGTCTTTCATGTCTGTTCCTCACACGGCAAGGCCGCGGGGCATTTGCCTTTTTGAGATTCCATATTTTATTTTTCATAGTGTAAGTGTGTGCCTGAGAGGAAGACGGGGAGTGCGAGAGAAAGAGAGGACTGACTCATAAGCATGGAGGTGAGGCAGAAACAGAAAAAAGAAAAAGGACGTTGGAGGGGAAAGTCCACAGAGGGAAAGATTGAATATATCCAACTGAAATGAAACAAGCTGCAGCGAGAATGCACATTATGAAGGAATATTGTAATGTTGTTTGCTGTACAAATCTGATTTCCTTCTGAGCTCTCCTCCTCTCAAGCAGATGCTAACATACAGCGAGAGTGTGCATTCGCATACCGGCACTTTATTATACATTCACATGGCCAACCCTGATATGTCCTCGTGTTTACACCACTGGAACTAATGACACTGCTTCTGCAATCCTTCAAAATTAACCCTTCAGGTCAGCGCAACACAAACACACACTCACACACACGTACACACTTCTTATGAACTCCTGAAGGAGAAGTTACTAAAGGAAATTAATGAGATGTATCGAATAGCACAGGGACACAGTGTGTGTGTGTGTGTATGTGTGTTCTCTCTTGTTGTGTTGTGTTAGAGAGGCAGTTATCAGGTTCACAGAGAGAAGCAAATTGACCACTTAGCCACCGGCTATACAAACAAATATACATTACTGTTAAACTAAGTGTGTGTAGTCAAACAAGTACACTGTACATTCTGTATCTTTACACTGACACCACAGGTCACACCCCCTACAGGCAGACATGGTTGTCAGATTTACCTTCAGCTTTGACCTGTAGCTGACACTACCATCCATTATATGAGATAGGGTACACTCAGGTAGAATACACAAGTCAAATATACCTGATTATTTATTAAACACTCGCTTTCCAAATCACCTGCATGGTACACAAACAAACTTGAGCACCAGAGAGATGAGTGCTGTGCATTTGAAAATGATGCGATATTGACCAGGTTTGACATTTATATCTTTCGCTCTCACACAGCAGAAATCCATCAAAAACCTGCTGAATTTAGTGTTTATTTATGTGCACGTGCGAAGGCGTGTGTGTGTGTGTGTGTGTGTGTGTGTGTGCATTTCCACACAATCACGCCGCATCACTCACGCACTACCAGCGAGGTCAAGGCAGCCGTGTAGCGTGGTGAGATTCTCCAGTGAGCGGTATGAGTGTATTCACCCTACAGCAGGTCTCTTCCTGCCTGAACCTTTACACCAGGAGTAGCTTAAAAAACTATGCTCAACACAGACAGGAGGCTCTGTGTGCCTGGAGGCTTGCTGAACTGAGCAGGCTTGGATGGAAATAGCACTGTAGATGTCTCTACTCAGTGGGTCTTACTGGATATTTCCTCCTCACAAAGAGGAAGATGTGACAGTGTGAGGCTGAAAATTCATGATTATTCCACTGTATATTATGCAAGTGTGTTAAGTGTTGACACATCTGATCCTTTAAAATGAAAAAGACACTGTTTGTGTTTCGCAGCGTTCAGGGTGAACAGCACCGGGTGGAGGACCAACATGCCTCATCTCTAAAGAAAAACTCTGCACATTTGGTGAAATGACTGAAGCTGTGCAGAAAAGTGTGTTATTCTAAAATAGGGTAAAGAAATGAGGCAAACTGACCACTGACCTTCTGCATCTTTACCAACAAATTTGAAATCAAAATGTATAAATATCCAACCATTTATTTTACCCACATTGACTGTAAAGTAATCAGCTGCTTATTTTAAGTTCTCTTCTGGTGAGTAGAGTCTCCGCTCACAAGCTACTACTACCTACGAAAATTAATGTTATCGTAGCTATTGCACGTCTGTCCATCCTGTCAGAGGGATCCCTCCTCAGTTGCTTTTCCTGAGATTCCTACCATTTTTTTCCTCGGTAAAGGTTGTTTTTGGGAGTTTTTCCTTATCCACTGTGAGGGTCCAAGGACACGGGGATGTAAAATGCTGTAAAGACCTCTGAGGCAAATTGTGATTTGTGATAATTGGGCTTTCTGAATAAAACTGAATTGAATACAGTTTAAAAGAAAGCATTTAAAGCTACAGTTGATAACAGTAGTGCAGTAGTGACAGTACTGACAGTAGTACATGAGACAGATAGTCTGGAAAACAAATCATGTTACTCTTCCTCTTTAGAGTGCTTCTAATGGCATTTACTAGAATCAGACTGCAGCTAAAGGAAAGCAACCAATCAGAGCAGAGGAGCTTCTAACGCAGCTGTCAATCAGGTCAATCACTGCTCATGAACTGCAGTCAAACTGTCTAACTAGGCAGCGCCGATCAAATCTGTTACTGCATTACCTCTTTCTCGCCTCAGATGTTCTCAGGAACACAATTTAGTGTACTGTTCAGCTGTAAAATGAGAAAGTGGTGCAGCAGATAGGCAGTGCTTGGTCTTGGCTCAGCTGTTTTCATTTTACAGCTAAACAGTACACTAAAATATGTTTCCGAAAACATTTGAAGCGAGAACGAGGACATGCAGAAACAGAATCTTGATTCATATTCGATCAGCGCTGCCTAGTTTGACTGCAGTTCACAAGCAGTGATTGACGTGATTGACAGTTGCGTTAGAAACTCCTCGGCTCAGATTGGTTGTTTTCATTTAGGCGCTGTGAATTCTTGCAAATGCCATTAGAAGCACTCTGAGGAGGCTGAGGAACATGATTGTTTTCACAAAGTATCTGTCTTATGTACTACTTTCCAGACATAGTGACAGTTTCAGCAAATGCTCCCTCACTGATTCCAGAAAACTTCATTTGTTAAAGTAAAAGAGTGGCATGACAGGTACATTATTTTACTGGGTCAAAACATTGGTCCAACTTTTTAAGGAATAAAGTTATTCACAAGAGTGATGCAACAGTAGACATAAGCAAGGTCTCAGCTGTGAGATCCTATTAAGATGAATGTGCACATGCACACACAGGTGTATAGGTAGAAGCATCAAATGAATACTCTAGGTTATTGCAGGGTCCAGGTTGTTTTAGTTAGTGCTCCTTCGGGGAGATTAAAAAAAAAAAAAAAAAAGCTGAACTGCCACACTCTCCAGTGTTTAAACAGAGCCAAAGCTCTGCTCAAGAGCAATAAAAGCTCCCTTTACACGTGTGTAAAATGCCTCATAAAGACCCAAAGACCCAGAAAATGCGGGAAACAGTCATTGTCTGTCTTGGATGGCTCCTGCAAGATTCATGCTATCAGTGTTGGTCTATGGAGCTTTTCATTGAATTATTAAATTACAGCACAGAGAACAAGACCTTAAAATTCTCTTTAAGTCCATTAGCGTAATAGGGCAATCATACTTCTGATACTGTGATTCTTTCAACAAAAAAAAAAAAGAAAGAAAGAAAGGAGCACTGTTCCCATTCTGATGACTTGGCACTTTCTTTCCATTTTCACTCCTTTCATGTGCATGAAACTACCTGAAAGTTGAAAATAGTTCCCCTTAAAATCTGAGAAAGCCCTGAGCGTTTCCATCCTCTTAGCTCCTCCTCCCCCGTTTCATCCTAATACCTCCACTTCCCTGCATAAATGTATCATTACAGTATCATTATGTCTATGGTATCCCCCCAGCCTCCATTTACAGGGACTTAGGTACTGTGTTCTGGGGCTTACGTGGACCCATTATGTCATTAAGTCATTATGAGCTGGGACAGAGAGAAAATAATACCCATAATAGGAGCTACATTGGGCACTACTTAAATCTATACTCCCATCCTGCCTGCCTTCCTGCCTATTTGTCTGTCTGGCTGTAGATTTGTACGTGCATTATGTTACATATTTTCCTCCCAAAAGAGAGAGTTTGAACATAAACTTCTGAAACTTTTTGCTCAGCCTGTGTTGGCAATGACCAACTCACCCCGGAATTAGGATACGCTGTCCAGCCCAGTTCAGCTGTGGCCACCCGAGTGTCCATTACGGTCTCTGCAGCAGGGAAAGAAAAAGAGGTAGAGGGAGAGAAAGAGAGCGGTTAGCCTCAGAAAAGCTATTTTGAGTATCATTCCACAGAGTTGAACTGCATTCAAGCCCCAGTGATCACTTGACACTATCATCGATGAACAGAGAGGAGATGAATCCTTCACAGCGTTTCATCCATCTCTGCTAGACTTCTCTTAAGACAAGAGACACGGAAACAAAGCTTTGGCACTTTGCTGGAAGGAATGTCTTAGAGCCTCCGTCACGCTGTTAAATGCTGAGCTTTGTATTGTGTTCTGTCTGTGCGAGCATGAAACTACAGCACTGTATGTGCATCCTGCCTTTGTTTGTGAGCGGGCGCGTGCATGCAGTCATTTGTGCAAAAACGAGTGGATATTTTTGTACTTGTCTGTTTGTACATGAGAGACACTGCATGGGTTTTCATGTGGCCGTATGCGAGTGCTGAACTTTGTCACATTGTTTACCCAAAGAAAGCCGCTTCACAAATACGGAGGGAGCCCTCCATGGCGAGGCCATTGCAGTTTGTTTACCACAAGCGGGGAGTGACATTCCCTGAAAACTAGTGTGGCAGTACTCTTTGTCAGTTCTTCTCAACCCCACGGTTATGAAAATACATAAATTCCCAAAGCATGCAGTCTCTGTGAAAGCTTTAATGAGAAGGGCAAAGATTGTCTTATGTTTCTCTGTGATTTTCTGAGCATTTGCACAAAATCTCAAGCTGCACCTTGGTGCACTGGTTGCAAACAAAAATGAGACAATAAAAAGTTATAACCACAGAGAGGAAAATCTGCCATATGGGAACAGTTCAGAGGAGATCTAAATTCATCTATCTCACTTTGGACTTGTATTTCATAAGGTGTCTTATCTGGTCCCATATCTATGAAATATAAGACAACGATTACCTCTTGCTAATCCTCAGTGACACATCATAGACAAATAAGTCTGGCAGCTCACCCAAGAAGTTTGTCAGACCTGTTTTGATTAATATCTTCCTTGTTGGCGCACGGAAATCTGGAAACATGATATAGCTCCGGGAAAGAAGAGAGTGCACTCTTAGAAATAAAGGTGCTAACCAGAAAGATACAGCATTCTTTGGCTTGTCCTCAGAGGAGAACCCTTTTAGTTCCTCTGAGAAACTTTTAGAAAGATTCCACCGAGAACACTTTCAAGTGGTTCTATCTAGAGCCCAAACATAAGGGGTTATACCTACCCAGAACCTTTCTCTGGTGTTCTATTCAGAAGCTTTTCACCTTGTAGGGAGCTAACAAGAATCAGTCCAGGTGGCTCTATGGTCGTCTACAATGAACCAAAGGGGGTGCAAATTTGCACATAACCCACCCTACTGTGCCTTACTCTGGCTTACCCTGACATTCTTACCCTAGCCAATCGCGCACCTCTTGCCTAGACCTAACCAATCCAACTAATGAAGGCAATGAGTGCTAGCCAGTCTTAGGGAGAGTAAGGTGGGTCATGTCTTTGCTATCCTAGGAAACGCAAATTCACCAGGACGGCTCTAAGAATAGTAATTGACTACATTACCCATAGATCTCTCTCCAAACCAATCATGGTTTCAGGTCTTAGCGTGGGGGATGAGGGACTATGTCCAGTAGCCTTGGGTGTCATGAGCCTCCGAAAGGGCTGATGTGGTCCAGCATAACCCACAAAACTCAAGGTTAACAAATATGTTTTTGGGGGTGCAGATTTACTATTTCACTGGTGCAGTAGGGTTAGGAACCAAAATTTGGTTCCAAATGAGAACCAAATACAAAATGCCAAGTACCCAGTACCTGTCAGATCATTATAATAATAATTTTGGTAGCCTGTGTGATATTGTGTGATGGCAGAACACAAGTAAAACTGACTGATTAAGGGGATCTGAGATACATCTACATTTAAGAAGAGGAACTCTGACTTCCAAAAAGACTTCTTTGGATGAAAATGGTTCTCAATGGAACATTTAGTCTTAAGCTAAAAGAGCGCTGTAGCTCATCAACAGATGACAACATAAAGTTAATACTACTCTTACTGAAATATCTGTACTTCTTCCACGTTTGAATGTATCTTTATAATAATGGGATTGTGGGCCGTTTAGTTCGGGATATTTCTCGACCTCGACAATGAGTCTCTCCTCATCTATTCTTCATCACACACAAGACACAGCAACAGCTACAGAGTTGTCTATAGATCAATGGTGATGAGAGAAAAAGCTGCTACAGGAGCTGGTATGTACAAGCACTTCATTTTGGGGGCGGCAACGCTGGAAATAGGAGAGTGGTGTTAAGTGCCGCACGTTTAGCCACCACTGGTGTAGGGTTGCACATTGAACATATCTGGGGTATATTTTTTGGTGTTGCGGTCACCACTAGTGTGTTTTGGCCTTTACTAAGAACCTTTTCTTAGTAAAGGCCTAACCTCTTCTTCAAGAAATGCGTTCCTAAGAAGCAAGTGGTTCTGGGTAGAATGTCAGGTCTTCAGGAGGAACAGGAAGAACACACTGAAACCCTTACTTCTAAGAGTGTATGGCAGTTATCAGGAACCACTGGTCTCTCCTGCTTCTCTATCTCTCTCACACACACACACACACACACACACACACACACACACAGATTTATAGAGTGATGAGCTGGGTGACATGTTGGCCTTAGCAGTGTAATGATAGATTCATAATTTCCCCAGTAACAGACAGTTTATTCTCCAGACTAAACCTTCCATCTTGTTGTGGGTGAACCAGGGCATATTTCACTTTTTGTGATGTCCCCTGCCACAACATGCCCTCCATTGTGTTTGTTGTGGCCAAACAGATAAAAAATTGGCTGCAGAGGGAGTGAATGGTATGTCTGGGTGGTGATCTGTAGTAGATAAGCAGGGCATGTGGGGATTTTCAGAGGAACTGTGGTAGCTGTGTCTTTGGTTTGGACATCTTCCACTATCACAGCAAACGGTTGGCTAGCAACACCCACACGTTTTGTCGATAAGGGAGAAATCTTGCTCTGACTAAATGCAGGGACATAACCAGCAGACGCTTGTCCTCGTGCAGGAACAGGTTCCAGCCCTCAGCACCCTCCCTTCACCTACTCCTCCACAGGAAGCACACACCCGCAGCTGTTGCTTATTTGGAATCTCACTGAACTTGCAGTGATTTAGAAATCATTCCAAATGATGGAGCACTCGAAGCCCGTCATCTGCAGTTCAAGTGGTCTTGGTTAAAAAAAAAAAAAAAAAAAAAACAAGTACACAGAGGATGAGTGACAAGCCCCCGGTAGGAAGGAAAGAGGCCTTTCATTCTCAATCTCCCCTTACTGAGAGAAACTGTCCTCAGACATGAAACCAATTAGCCTAGGTAATTCAGCCGCACACACAAGCACTCACAGAGATACGCATTAAGCCACACACATGAACACACATGCTGCACACACGCACACACACACTTACATTCACCAGCCAACTCAGAGAGCAATTTTCTGTGTACACCTACAGTGACAGCCTTGTTCACACCCGGCTTCCATCAGAGTATTTCAATTTCCCTAAGATCAGCCTTGTCTTGTCTAGTTTCCACAGCCAGCCAGCCAGCTCCAGCCTGCTTGCCTGCCTGTACAACTTGCTGTCAGCTGGGGAGATAGGAGCATGAAACAGCCCTCAGCGCCAGCCAGCGTTGTGGGGACTGCCAACGCTTTCTCAGGGGAAATCACAGAAGCTTTAGTCAAATCACACAGGCACTTGATAGGCCATTTTCCATTTCCTTTTAAAAGGAAGGGAGGGGGGGTAAGGAGGCGCAAGATGGCGAGGGTAAGAGACAAAAATAAAAGGTCAAAGGCCCATGGGAGGGGTGGATGAGCCGTGTCATGTGACCTAATGTCTGCCATTAGCAGAATATCTGAGTAGCAGATGAGTAAATGGACTATGCTAATTGGTTATTAGCAACGGGGTGGGGCTCACACAGCCCGTCATGCCATAGCTCACACACCTGTCCAATGGCACTGGGGATTTGGAAAAATGTCCCTTGTGTACGTGTATGTGTGTGTGAGTTTTAAATGAGCTGTTATGTGGACCATTCATCCATTTAATCATAAGTGGATTTCGAGAGTTTCATTTTAAAACGAGCAACCCACATTAATTAGAAAAGCCTGCTCTTTCAAAATTACAAGAGGCACATATTGGTTTATTGCTGAAATTATAAATCATCCTATGATCCAAGCTTGCAAAGGAAAAGGTTTCTTTTGCTATTGTAAAAATACATTTTATTCAGGACATACTTCATCCAAATAATGACCATTTGTAAATCATTAGTGATGCCGTGAATTCGATAACATGGATTTCTCGCATGCCTCCACTGAAAGGAGCGAACATGTTGATTTACTGATCAATTGGGAACTTTATTAAACAACAGCAAATCTATATCAAAACATCCACTTACAAAGAGGAAAATATGCTTTATCAGTCACTGAAGGGAAATCCATTTCTTTCACTCTGTTGTCATATACACACAGGCCCAAACACACACACATGCACAAACATGACTCCATTTAAAGTCAGAGTGAGGAGGCTGCCTAGGACAAGTGCCCCGAGCAGTTGGGGGTTTGGTGCCTTGCTCAGGGGCACCTCGGCAGTGCCCTGAAGGTGAACTGGCACCTTTGGGTACCAGTCCAAACTCCATATTTGGTCTTGCAGTACAATTAAAGTCTGATTTATCCAGTCATAAGCTCAGTACTTTTCAAATACTTGCATTTTCACAAAAAAAACCCAAAACAACAACATATTTTTGGAGTCTGGCTTTAAAGAGAGCATTGATAAGTTTCACTTCCAGCTCAGTTTTAACCTCCTGAGATCCTGTGTCCTCACATTAGGGTATCACAATTTGGGTCTACTTGACCTTAAACTTCAATCTTCTTAACTTACACTTGTCCTTGTTCATGGACATTTCTTGTGCCATCTAGTGGTAGTAAGAGCCAATTACATTAATCAATGTAAAAACAAGATGGCAGCCATCT